AAAAAAAAAAAAAAAAAGAAGCAAACCTTTTAGGAAGCTTTAAGAAAAGAAGGCTACTATAAAGATACACTGGGGCTGGAATTTGAACCAGAATTTATCTGATAACCTCTTTACCCCAGGCAGCTCTTAGCAAAGGAGCAAAATTTAAAATGAGTAGTTTTACTGTGTCAGGCTCCATGCTAAGGATATTTCATATATTATCTTGTATGATTATCAAAACAATATATGATAAGCATTATTAAATCTTTTAAATAACATGCTCAAGCAACAAAACTAGAAGTAGAGATGTTGAGATGTGAACTGAAACCTGTTGTCTCCAAAGACATAGCTTTTGTCACTTAAGTAAGAAAAAATAATTGATGAGAGGTGCCTGGGTGGCTCAGTCAGTTAAGCATCTGACTTTGGCTCAGGTCACAGTCTTGCGGTTTGTGAGATGGAACCCCGTGTCGGGCTCTTTGCTGACAGCTCAGAGCCTGTAGCCTGCTTTGGATCCTGTGTCTCCCTCTCTTTCTGCCTCTCTCCCGGTCATACTCTGTCTCTCTGCCTCTGTCTCTCTCAAAATTAAATAAAAACATTAAAATTAAAAAAAAAAGAAAAAATAATTGATCAGTCAATGTTTATTAAAAATGCAAGGATGGGTTGTTTTGTCTTTAAAAAGGAAGAGAGGAGAACTCATCAAACTCCACACCCGAAAAACAAATAATCCAGTGAAGAAATGGGCAGAAGACATGAATAGACACTTCTCTAAAGAAGACATCTAGGTGGCCAACAGGCATATGAAAAGATGCTCAATGTCACTCCTCATCAGGGAAATACAAATCAAAACCACACTCATATAACACCTCACACCAGTCAGAGTGGCCAAAATGAACAAATCAGGAGACTATAGATGCTGCAGAGGATGTGGAGAAACGGGAACCCTCTTGCACTGTTGGTGGGAATGCAAACTGGTGCAGCAGCTCTGGAGAACAGTGTGGAGGTTCCTCAAAAAATTAAAAATAGACCTACCCTATGACCCAGCAATAGCACTGCTAGGAATTTACCCAAGGGATACAGGAGTGCTGATGCATAGGGGCACTTGTACCCCAATGTTTATAGCAGCACTCTCAACAATAGCCAAATTATGGAAAGAGCCTAAATGCCCATCAACTGATGAATGGATAAAGAAGTTGTGGTTTATATATACAGTGGAATACTACTTGGCAATGAGAAAGAATGAAACATGGCCTTTTGTAGCAATGTGGATGGAACTGGAGAGTGTGATGCTAAGTGAAATAAGTCATACAGAGAAAGACAGATACTAGATGTTTTCACTTTTATGTGGATCCTGAGAAACTTAACAGAAGACCATGGGGGAAGGGAAGGGGAAAAAAAAGTTAGAGAGGGACGAAACCAAACCATAAGAGACTCTTAAAAACTAAGAATAAACTGAGGGTTGATGGGGGGTTGGAGGGAGGGGAGGGTGTGATGGGTATTGAGGAGGCCACCTGTTGGGATGAACACTGGGTGTTGTATGGAAACCAATTTGACAATAAATTTCATATTAAAAAAAAAAAGGATGAGAGGTTTGTCTTCAAAAGAGAATGAGAACTTCTGTCTCTGAGAGAGATGTCAGAATTTGAATATGAATAAAGTACTTAAAATTTTGAAATGGTATATTTTGAAATGCAAGGAACTTGATACTTATATTTCATAGTTAACTTGACCTGATTTCCAGTTTCTGAACAGATAGACTTCAGGAAGCCTCTTAAATTTTCCCCAATAAGTAAATAAATTAGTGTGGCAGGATGATGCTTTTACATTAGTAGCTTTTTAAAATAAGCTGGTCTAAGATTATGTTCCTTATGAGAATCATCATTTTTGTTGGCTGTCTCCAGTGATATTGTACAAGAGACTGGATCCTAATTTTTATAAATCCTTCAAATCCAGTCTTACAAAGGCATGGCAGTATTATTTTCCCCCTTGAAAATGATATAAGGTTATGGGGACAAGTGATGAATAAGAGAACTTAAAAATTAAAAATTGTGAAGAGAGGGAAAAAATGGGAGATTCAAACAAAAATGCAACCTAGTACTAAATATGAAGTCTTGTATTTAAGCGAAAACCCCAAAGGCACAATAAAGGATAAAGGGACCTGGCTTACCTGAGATCCATTTGAAAGAGACTATGTAGAACTGTGTGAAATAGAAGCACAACACAGACCAAATGTATATGAAACTAACAAGATCTTCAAAGTGTGCTAAAGAAAGTTTCCAGAATGTTCTAGTGTAATCAGGTTGAGTGTAGAGTGCTGTGTTCAATCTCAATAGCCACATTTTAAGTTGGACTTGGACAAACTACAGTTCATTTAGAGAAGGCAATCAGAATAATGAAGTATTCAGAAAGCACATCCTGGGAAGAATATGTGAAAAAGTTGAAATGAAAGGGTTTTGTGACAAACGTCTGATGGATGAAAACTGATTTTGCATTTCTCAGTGGGAACAATCAGTACATGAAGGGGGATGTCTAACAGACATACTTTCCACAAATGAGACAGGCTGCTTCCCAGAGGGATGAACTTCCTCCCAACTGCTGGAGAAGATGAAAAATGATAATCTTTTCAGAAGAGTATAGCTGGAGTTCTAAGGTTCTCAGCCTTCACTGCTATCAGATACCTTGCATGTTACAGAGCAAAAGGATTTGGCCATGGTTTGGTTGAGAAGGATGAAGAAGAGAAAGGAATTCAACAGTCGTTTCACAGATTCTTGAGTAAGGAGTAGGAGGACAAAAAGGCAAGAAGAGTAGATGTTTGGGGAGAATCTAATAAACTCTATTCTGTGGTAGATTTAAAAGTTTTACTGAAATTCCAATGTTATACCCAGGTCTAAATATTTGATTGATATTATTTGCAAATGTGTGGCTGTTTCATGGATAAAAGGCAAAGGAGTTATATAATTCTGGAACTTATTTGCCTGGAAATAGTTGCTGAAGATGAGAGTGTGAATGATATCTGAAGGGAAGGGAGAAAGAAAGAGGGAAGGATAAGGAGAGAGCCTTGAGGAATTATTACTTTTCAGGGTCAAAAAAGAGTGGAGTAAGAGAAAAAAAAAACATTAAAAGGAGAAAAATAGGAGGTTTATAGAAGCCAAGAACGAAGAGAGTACCAAGATGTCAGGGGCCACTGAAGATATTTAAAATACTGCAAACAGGTTAAGGAGGACTCCGAAAGTTCCATTTAACTTGACCCTCAGGATTTGGACCTAGGGGGTAATTTTCTGTAAACTAATGGATACAAATGTTAGTAAATAGATGTAGTGAGCATACTTTTTTCTTTCAGTGAATTTAGTGGCAAAAGAAATAATAGTGAGATAGCATGTTGATTGCCAAACAAGATAAAAGCATTTTTTTTATTTTTATTTTTATATATTTTTAAAAAATTTTTTTCAACGTTTATTTATTTTTGGGACAGAGAGAGACAGAGCATGAACGGGGGAGGGGCAGAGAGAGAGGGAGACACAGAATCGGAAACAGGCTCCAGGCTCCGAGCCATCAGCCCAGAGCCTGACGCGGGGCTCGAACTCCCGGACCGCGAGATCGTGACCTGGCTGAAGTCGGACGCTTAACCGACTGCGCCACCCAGGCGCCCCAAAAGCATTTTTTTTTTAAAGAAAATAAGATGCTTTTGTGTACGTTTATGTAAGCAAAAACAATTAGAGAAAAGACCAATGATGCCAAAGAAGGAAGAGGCATAGCCTGTAGATCTTGGAAAAACCAAGCAGTAAGAAGCTCCAAAATGCTTGGTGACCTTGGGGTCATTGCTAACTCTTAAGTCTCAGTTTCCTGATACGGTACCTGAGATATCTACTTTTATATGTCACTGAGAGGCCTACACATGAAGTACATAACAAGTGTATCTCAGTGCTTGATACACAGTCATTATTTTTTTTAAAAAAACCTAGTATTTCTTTTGGAAAGGAGATGGAAACAGGAGGGCAGAGAAGGAAAGATGAAGATACCAGAGAAAGTTTCAGAGAATGAAGCATGGTGACAGATGGAGAGGAGGAAAGATTATGGAGGTTGTACCAGATGGCCTCTGCTTTTTCAGTAAAGTAGGAAGGAAGGTCATCTGTTCAGAGTGAGGACAGCATGGTTGAGAATGAGGCATGAAAAATGTAGAAAAATGTTAGAATACTTTTTCTTTCTTCCAAGAGAAAAGGGATATACAGTTCAGTGAGGCACAAGATACTGAGATTCTGAGGAATAAGATGCCTCGAAGTGAGCTTTCTCATAAGTTTATCTGGCAAAGCTTGGCATCTTGAGAATGAATGAGTAGCCCACAAATGGGAAGGTAACTCATTTGGAGGATTTGGCAGGATCTAGGGCACGGTAAGCAGTGATTCTGGTGTGATATAACAAAACACCTGGAGGTAACTGACATGGAGTCTTGGCACATGGGGAAGGCTCGTGATGCTAGAGGTAGGACAAAAAGCCACACACTTGAGAGGCAGCTGAGGATATAGGGGTCATGATAAAGGTGGAAAAACAGGTGTGGGAGATGGGAATAGAGATGGCTGTTGTAGGTGACAGGAGCTCTTATATATGGATTATTGAAGCTGAGTCAGTCTTAAGAGAAGAAGAGTGTGAAGAGGTGAAAATAGAAGGTGGCTGAAGTACATTCATATCAAGACCGTAGACATTGAAGGGGTTAGGAAATTTTTATAAAGGGTATGGTTTTGGACATCAATGAAGACTGTAATATTATTGAGCCAATAAAAAATTTAAGGAAGAAAAACATGATAACCACAATAGAGCTTCATTGAAGAAAGGTAAGAATAGTAGTTAGGTGATAGTTCCAAGGCGGTGAAGAGGCCTTTAAAAGGTGCCCCAACAGTCAGAACAAAACATTTACCTGGGACTCAACAGACCTGAGCTTGAAGCATGACTCTGCCACCAACGAGCTGTTACATTTCCCAGCTAAAGAGTAAGGGATTTGGATGTTGCGATTACATCTAGTTAGATCTAATAATAAATGTGACCCCTAATACTGACATAGTTTCAGTTCGCCAGAAGCATACAGTCAATTTAAAGAGATAAGCTACATGCTCATGCAAAAAGAATAAAAAATAGCAGATACGTAACCATACAAGACAGTGTTTGAATGTTAAGTGG